TAGAATGGTACTGAAAGACGGCGAAAGACTCCAAAGCTAGGGGATTATTAACGATCAAGCAGTGTGCACATTTTCTTGAAACACCCTATATATGTGTAGCTTTTGATATAGGAGTACTATGCATGTTATGGCAACGATGCGGTTCTACTCGCAACAGAAGTCTTTATGAGTGACGTCTGTCTCAAGACAATCACTATCAAAGGTTGGTTCTCTTTGCTGCTTTTAGGTTTGCTGAGGTGAGATGAGTTTCAGGAGAGTTGCTACAGTATCTCACTATGAATCATGGACAGTATCAGCGTACGGTTAGAGAGCTTTTGATGTTTTTGAGGTATCGTGTGGAGCTGTATACCTTGGATCGAGATCAATGGGTTTTGAAGGCTAAGGTTGGTTTGGGATCTGTACAGTTGTTAGGCTACGGCATATATGCCTCCAGAGTCGTGGGTTTAAGACCGTATGAATGAGAATAATCGTATTCCAGGGTACCACTGGTAACCTAGGAGATTTTGAAGATGTTGTAGGCGACATAACCGGATGTGGAAATGTGATTATGGCTATCAAAACCACGAAGGGAGAAAATGTATGACTTCTCTTCAGTCATACTAGTATGCACAATTTTTACACCAAAATTAGAAATCATCTAAAAAATGTCATACAAACATCTTGTTATGAAAGTAGTATTTTCTAGTGCATTTTAAAAAATCAATATGAAACAAAAATCAATAAGTCGATTTTGAAAAATCAAAATTCGTAACTAATCCTAGGGACATCCGATCAGTATCAACTTCTCTTGGTCAAAAAGAGTAGATCATAAAACGAAGAGATAAACTTTTCTGTAGACGTTTTTATTTTAGCAACCAAAAATCGAATCACTTTTGGGGCATTCATCAGCTCCTATGATTGCCATATGCCATCAAGGAATTTCAACTAAAGCAGATTTTAGAGCACAAGATTTTCTTTTTCTACTACTTATTAAATCGGAAGATTTCGCTAAGACTAAAGAAAGTAATGTAAAAGTTTTGGTGCAAGTGTTATACATCAACCTAATATAATACTCTTCCAACTCCATTTATACAGGGTGTCCCAAAATAATGTATCGAACGT